TAGTTTTCGTTTACTCTTCGGTTTGGTTGTTAGGTAGAGTTACTTAATTAAGTAGAGTAGGTAGTGTTTTGGTTTTTGTTTGTTCGTAGGAGAGAAGACGCTCTCTCTCTCTCTCTCTCTCTCTCTCTCTCTCTGTGTGAACGGAAAGCCACAAGCTTTAGGGTGAACATCTGGCGACTTTTCTAATCAAAATTTGGCAAAAGACAAAATGTTCAACCTAGAACTAAGCATATGTCATTTATTTTAATTTTTTCCTCTTTGGATTTAAAATGGAAAAAAGAACAAAAAATATTTTGTTTTTAGGGTTGGGGCTTTTACAAAAAAAATTGCTTGTGCATTTTTATTGCCTTTCAGCTTTGGTTTTTGAAGGGCTTTTACAATTTGTAAGTGCCCAAGGAAGTAACGCAGAAAATGCAAAAAAAGAATAAGAAATTTATTTTGGGCCTTTTTTTTTTGACTTTTAAGGGCTATTATGATTTGGTAAATCCCTTAAACAACAGAAAATGCACAAAAAATTTGTTTGTGTATGTGTTTTTCTTATATCTTTGGCTTTGGATTTCAACTTTAAGGGCATTTGCTTATTGCTGTAACCCTTAAAAAGCAGAAGCCAAAAATGAAAAAAATGATGTCCAAAACACAACTTTCTTTTGTGGGTGTGTGTGTGTGCGCTTTTTCATTTACTGTTTTTAAGGGCTTTTATAATTTTGTAAAAAGTCCTTACAAAAAGTAAATGAAAAAAAAAACTGTTTTCATGGCTATATGTATGATTATGAGCTTCTTGTTTAGTTGTTTTGTGCCTGAAATAGTTGTTTTAATATTAGCTTATTGTTGCTTGATGGGTTATTTTTGCTTGTAATATTTTTTTTTAATTTGTTTCCCCCAATTTTTCCTTTTCTTTATTTTTAGGTGAATCCGTGGGGACTTGGGCTCCTACCCCTTTTTCATTAATAAAAAATAAGGTTACAAATAATATAGAGTTTATGGTAGAGATCTTTAATGTAAGGTCCTGGCCATCTCAGAAGAAATAAATGAAGAAAGAAAGTTAGGTGGTCAGGCACGCCAAACGGTGGCCTTGGAGAGGCTTGCAATGCTCTTGGCTAGGTAGTCGGCCACCAAGTTGGCCTCTCGCTAGACATGCGTAGTATTCCAGGGGTGGCCATCAAGGTGGTAAAAGCAATTTTCTTCCCATGATGCGAAGATTCCAGCGGGGCTTGTGGCGACCATGAAGGGAATGCACCAGAATATGCAAGTCGTTTTTGATGAGCAAGGGAAAACAAAGCATCTTGATATAGCTGCATGCCCCTTTCAATTTTCCCTTTTCTGGGATTTGTTTCATATGGAATATGTTTTAATTTTGAAATTGTTCCATTCCACTTGGGTCTTATTAGACTGGTGCCTTCATCAGTCCAGTCCCAACAACGTTTGACTTTATTATGTTAAGGTCTCAGTAAAAAGTGAATCCCAAAACCCAATGGTCTCGTCAGAGAGAAGTTGATGAGAGATGATGTTTTGGGGAAGTTCGGTGTTTCTTTGCCTTGTGTGTTTTGGTTCAGGGGGTTGTCATAGTTCATGAAGTCAAGGTGGTATTTGGTCTTGATATGTGGTGAGCTTATGGACTTTTTACCTTTTTGCGTATGGAAGCACATGGTTTTTCTGATTTTCATCTTTTTACTTGGGAATCTAAGTGGCTTCAACTCACGCCACGTGAGATTTTTGTAATTTCATACTTATACTAAATGAACTTTTCCCCCGCAAAAAAAAAAAGAAAAAGAACAAAAAAAGAAAGAAAAATCTAAGGGGCTTCAATTTAATGATGTTGTCCTTTGTTTGTGGGGCCCAGGCTAATGTTCCTCTTACCTGTGAAATACTGTTTTAGCTGGCACGATTCCTTTATGTTGGGAGTTCTGCCTTCTATATTAGGAATGCTTGATATGTGTGCCAATATCTGCTGATATCTTTCTTCATTTTATAAAGAACAAATTGTTTTGTCAGCATGCTGTAATTGAATTGTCGAGCTTCTTTGTGGTTTATGCTATTTGATGCTGTTTCAAAAACTATTTTCCACCATGATTTTGTTTAGTGATGTGATTGGTGCAGGGCCAATACAAATCAACTCTAGTTTGTCCTGTCTGTGGAAAGGTCTCTGTGACCTTTGATCCCTTTATGTACCTTTCATTGCCATTACCATCGACAACAACACGCACCATGACTGTCATGGTATTCAGTAGTGAGGGTGGCACATTGCCAATGCCATGTACTGTAACTTTGCCCAAGCAGGGGAAGTGCAAGGACTTGATGCAAGCCATAGGCAATGCTTGTTCCTTGAAAAATGGGGAAAAGCTTTTACTTGCAGAGGTGTGTATGGATAATATCTTGTAACCTGTTCTAAGATATGGTAACTTTTCAGCATAGACTGCTAAATCCTGTAGTCCATGTTAAGTATTGAATGATGGTTGTTACAGATCCAGAGTCACTTGATTCATCGCTTCTTGGAGGATCCTTTGATCTCATTATCCAGTATTAAAGATGATGATCACCTTGCTGCTTATAAGCTTCCAAAGTATGCGAAGACCGCAACTTTTCTGCAGTTGATACATCGGCGCAAAGAAGTGTAAGTTGAGCTACGTTGGAACCTGTGCAGCTATCATGAGATAATTTAGACCAAAAAACTAAATATGGAAACAAAGGAAAAAAAACTATCATTGAGAACCAACCAAAAACCAAGTCTCTGTGTGTGTGTGTGTGTGTGTGCGTGTGTCAATAATTTATTCTTAAACGTCTCTTCTGGCATATCTATTCTCATCTGTGTTATTAGGGTTTTGTAAAAATGTCTGGATTTAATTCATAATCATGGGGTGCTAACTTTCAATTGTGTTGTCCATTTTCTTAAAAAGTTCAGTGCTTGTCTTGGATAATTTGCTTCTCCTCTGATTTCCTAATGGATTAGAAAAACCGATTCTACAAATCGTGCTTCTTCTGCTTATTCTCCTATGATTAAAAACATTATGTTCCACACTGTGGGTGCAGGATGTGTTTTATTGTCATTTTCTTCATGGTTTTACCATCAATGACAGTTTTTATCTATTCCTTTGTTCTATGTCTGGGTTTCTTAACAATCATAGGCCTTAAATTCTTCCACCATCTTTATAATTCTTTGCTTCAATAAATTTGTTCTTTTTACTTGCTTCAAAATGACCAGATATTTAATAGAAGGGCTCGTGTATGTTGCTACATTCTGGTTTTAATAGAGCTTGTATTAAACCTTTTGGAGTGTGACCAATCTCATCCAGGGTTTTAGGATGATTCCTTTCAGAACCTCAGCCTAAACGATCTACGAGTACTATAAGAATAATTTGCGCTTAGAGAGTCCTGACTTTCTTTTCACAATCCTCACATCTACATCTTCATATAAGCTAGTAGTGAGTTTAAGTACTTTCAAATGGATGAAACATATTTTGTGAGTTCATATTACCTCAAAGTCCAAATGTTATGTTCTCCAAACCCCTTTGGAGTTGAATTTGACTTGTGGACCGCTCTTTGTCACACTTGAAAGCTTTAAGATGAGGTTAGTCAAGCACAATTTAGATCCCTTCTAAATGACATTGTGAGAGAACTCTACTAGGATGGCTTGCCTCCTTTGAAGCCCTTATATTGCACCCACCCTGAGCAAAAATGTCTCGGTGGGTATGTTTGTGACTTTCCTATGCTCCGGCATCTGTTCATTGTGTGAATGGTGGTGTGTCGAATTCATATGCAATTATACTCATGGATTAGCAGCTAACAGTACCATATATGACAGGAAAAGGATGAACATATTTTACTTGTACAGTATGGTCAATACAACTTAGATTTAATTTTAGGACATGGTTTCTATGAGTGCATGTAGAAATGAGTCACCTCTTAAAAATCTATTTTTGAGATGGATTTTTTTACTTAATTTTTAAGGACATGTAATCAATCTTTAACATAGAGATCATGAATATGAAAAAATAAATAAATTTGAAAATTAGAAATAATAACTTTATTAAGAAAACATTTGGACTGTTAGTTTCAATTGTTTTTAGATGGACCACCTATTTGCATCCATCTTTAAGATGGATGCTTTAATACCTCGAGGACCACAAATGTAGAAATGCGGTCCTTGCCACATGAAACAATTTTCCTTAATTTTATGGTCTTTATGTATCCCTGTGCCATATTCTTGTTTTGAATTTCTACTGGCCTGAAAGCTTCCATTCATGATGTCACTGGTTATACATATCTAATATCTTTAGCCTGTGCATACACCTCTCTTCAACTGGGTAATATTGTAATAGACTTCATGTTGAGCTCATTTCTGCTGTTCTAATGCTAGCGAATTGCAGGGACTCTGTTAATACTGCTATCTGGAAACCCTATGGGACCCCTCTTGTGGCATCCATCTCTGAGGATGTCAAAAGACGTGGGGATATCCAAAGTATTGTTCAGGCCATGCTTGCCCCTATGCTGAGATCTGAAAAAGCCGAGTCTTATTTTAAGCGCAAAACAAGCATATCCCCACCCAATTTATCCAAGGAGTTAATACAGGGTGGAGCACATTCTGATTCAGGAGTATCCATGACTGAAGATGAGGAAAGCAGTTCTAAAGGAGGGATACCGAAATTGCCTTTGCAATTAGTAGATGAGAACAACGTATGTATAGATTTGTCAACTGGAGAACACGAAGCAATCCAGCTGTCAACTTCATCTTCAATGTTGGTGTTTATGGATTGGTCAGAAAAAGAGTTACAGAAGTATGATACCCGTTATCTCGAGAACTTACCTGAAGTGTTCAAGTATGGCCCTGCGACCAAAAAAGCACGGACTGAACCTCTCTCACTGTATACCTGTTTGGAAGCCTTTCTGCGGGAGGAGCCATTGGTGCCTGAAGATATGTGGTTAGTTTGAATATTTCATTTTTCTGTTATTTCATAGTATTTATTTTTATGTATTTATTTATTCATTCATAGTGGGCTACTGGGGGAATTCATATTGGGACTTGCAATGATATGCATCCTTCTCTAGTTCTAAGTTTCTAGTCTTCATTTATGTATTTTTACTTGATACTTGTCCCCCAGTGAAAATTCTTCCCTTTGTGAATTCTTTGATAAGCAGGTCAGTCCAAAAGTCTGTGCTTTTTGTTTGCCATTGCTTACAGTACTACCCAGGTTAATTTCCTTTTTGTCAAGGAAGCAAACTATTAGACACGTCCACAAATGGATGTACTTGCATGAAATTTGCTCTTCCTCTTGTGCATTTTTTATATTTTTGATTTATTAGTACCTTCTTCATTCTAGGCTTTGTCCACAATGTAACGAGCGGCGACAAGCAAGCAAGAAGCTGGATTTGTGGAGGCTGCCCGAGGTGCTGGTCATCCACCTGAAGAGGTTCTCTTATAGCAGATCCATGAAGCATAAACTTGAAACGTTTGTCAATTTCCCAATCCATGACCTCGACCTGACAGACTATGTAGCCCACAAGAGTGGCTCTTCTCGCCAGCTTTACGAGCTTTACGCTTTGAGCAACCACTATGGTGGCATGGGAAGTGGCCACTACACAGCACATGTCAAGGTGAAACTGTGTTTCTACAAAAAACATTTTTTTTTTCATTCTTAGGATAATTAAAAGTGGGTGCAGTTGGTATAGCCGAAGCTCTAAACAATCAAAGTAAATGACACCTTCAAATAGTGTCGATAAATGTGGTTTTACTACCGGAATTCTTTGTGATTGACTTAAAATATATTTTCATCTTTAATTATAAAATTTAAAGCTTCAAAAATAGTGTAGATCAAGCAGATCTATGAAAACTTGAAAATCTTGAAAATTGACGGTCAAAAAATGTGTTACGAGATGCACTATTTCCAAAACTTGAAATTCATTTTTTACTCATGCCCGAGATGATCAATTTGAGGATATTTGGTCATCAAAACAACCTCTTCTAGTGAAATTTTTGAAGTGGGCTCTAATTTGATTGTTTTGAGCCTCAGCTCTATGTAAACTTTTTTCATTAAAAATAACTCTTTCTACTCTTCTTTATGATGATTGAGAACTTGTGCTAAAGTACGTGCTTTGTAACGTCAATTATTTTCTGTTCTCCTATACGTGCAGCTTTTGGATGAGAATAGGTGGTACAATTTTGATGATAGTCATATTTCTTCCTTGACTGAAGAGGAAGTGAAATCAGCAGCAGCCTATGTGCTTTTCTACAGGAGAGTGAAGAATGAGGAAGGATGTGTAAGTAATGGGGCCCAGTCTTCTGCAGATCATGTGTAACATTTCATGTGAGAAATGAAGAATATGAAAAATATATGTAGTATACAGCTAGGCTCTCCATGGTCATCAGAATTTCCCTTGTTTTAACAAAAAAATTTGAGAAAGTAATCTCCCTCAGGAATTCACATATTAGAGAATTGTGTTGATTATTAATTACGGGTAACGGGTGCCCGATGTTTACCCATGTAAGGAAAAGCTTTACATATCCAAACTGACTCAATTATTCACTAAGAATTGGTATATTTGTGTAGAAGATGGAACAGCATAATTTGAAGTTGAAACTTTATAAGGTGCCTTATAAAAAGGTCCTTGAGTACTTGCTGAAATATTCAAATATTTTTTTATTGTTAATAATCTACGAAATGTATTTTGTTCTTGTTATTTCAGATGATTGATTAATGAAAATAACAGTTGAACTGTGATGCTAGGTTCAGGATCAGACGATAACCACACACCCACTTTTAAAAGACTGAAATTTGGTTGGGGATCGGAGTATCTAGATTTCCTCTTAGACCATCCTCGTATGGGATGGGGCAGAGATTGAAATCAGGGCAAGTTCAGCCCAATAACATGATTATAAATGTCAGTTTTGAGGTTCAAAGTAGTAGTCTGCTAGATTTGAACAAAAGAAATGTGGTATTTCATGAAATTGGACGTTTTGAAAAGTGCGATGCTTACAAAGGTGTTTGAAGATATTTAAAATAGATATAGACTCCAATCAATTTTACCACTTCAGGATCAAATTTGTCCACACGTCTCTATATTATAGAAATACATAGTTTTTTTACTTCTGCGCTTATTCCTCATATAATTTTGTATTTGAATCCACAAGGCTTTATGCTTATCTTTAATATTCGTAATTTTGAATTTGTGGGTTGTTCTTCATGAATTTGAATGTGTAATTGGTCTCACGCAAAATTGAACCCACTCACTGGTCTTGTGATTGTCTTCAACTTCCACGAATTTGAATTCGTGAGTTGGTCCTTCTTAATTCATATTTATCACTTCATGCTGCTTAAGCTATTTGCACCTAGCGTATCTTTGATAACAGTCATACATCCAATCGATAATTATCTTTAACTTTGAATTTTAAATTTGCAGATACGAAATCTAACAAGGAAAACCAAGACGTTGCTGCATCTTATTGCCTTTTCGTTCAAGTTCCACTACTTTGTTGGACACATCTTAGTATATTTTTAATCGCTTTTTCCATGCGCACCCTTTAATCACAAAAACTTAGTGAGATTAAAGAGAGCTCAGAGACGAACCCAATGGTTCAAATCTTGTTGAAAATGGACTTCTGATGAAGGAGATACCATCATTCAAACTCAATGCATTTATGCTGGAATATATGTCAGCACCATCAGGGAAATGCGGATGCAACCGCTCGTTCCATATGCATCAAATATTCTCACACCTTTTGAGGGTGATAAAGAATCAAGTAAAAAATCTAATGGCCCCAGTCCCATGAGAAAATTCTTCACATCGAGGTAGAAATCTCAATTTTGGTGACCAGGTATTATTTTGACTGTAACTCAAAGGGTATAAGGCTTTCAAGGCTTAACTGCCGAGCGGTACGGATGATAGGTTAAACCACCTCCAATTGATGTGAAACTTCAAGGTGAGGGTTATAATGCCTCGAACATAGGTCTATGAGAATCTCGGCTTAGTTCCAAAATACAAGTTCTGGGGCGCCAGTCAAGGCATATATTAACTAACGGTAGATATAGACATGGGTTAAGCCAAGTCCAAATATTACCCAAGTTATATCATTTTTGGATTTTAAGGCATAGCAGGCCTTAACATATATATCTTCAGGGATTTACCTCAATATATCAACACATGGTGAGGTTACCTTTGTGCTTCATCTATTAGAACGTCACATTAAGCTGAGGGATTAAAAAGAATCATTCCTCGTAAGTTACCACATTTATGCATAACTAACGGCAAATGTTGAGAAATCAAATCGTATCTAGTTCTTCAATATATCACATGAACAATTATATCATGTCTTAAGAGTGTATGTATCTTAGAACTTTTCTCAAAACAAGATTGCTTCAATTCTTATGCCAACCTTGAATATGCTCGGCTGACGAACTATGGCCATCATATCTTTATCGTTCGTAAGTTAAAACATTTAGGGATTAACTAATGAATCAAGACACTTTAGGCATATTAAGGCCTTCAAATGGGGAATCTTGATCATATCATGTATTTCATATCATATGGGGGCATATCTGAGTAGGTATTATCAAGAACGATACTCGTATCTTATCGACCGTGCATTAAAATAATTATCCAGCATACGTTATTGGTTTTGTTGTATAACAACATCTTCAATCTATCGAGCATTCATTCACTTAGTCTTATATGTGACTAAGAGACATATCCACCATTTCAAACTATATCTTCAAGGGATTCATCAAATTTGCATATCCTTATTGCACGTGCGTTAAAGTCATAACTCATAATTGTTTAAAGACATACTTAACGACTGGCATATCATTTTAGCCATGATCATCTCATTCTCCCATCGAACGTTCGTTAGAATGTACCTAGTCCTGCATATGACTAAAAATACACCCAACAGAAATATAGCTAGGTTTTGGTATAATTTTGTGAGACCTATAACCCACTAAATAGTATTGATATTTCCGGTAGTATGGCTAAAAGAATCGGATTGCCTACTCATGAAAACTATTAGAAATGAAGGGGTGAGCATACCCTGATTCATGGCCCAAAATACTTTTCTTGCATGGTCTTCTGCTCGCAGCTGCCTCCACTGATAGAAACAGGCTCTCCACCCATTCCAGCTTTTAAGTTTATTCTTTTGGGGGGTGTCCCAAGAAAAAAGATGAAGTTCTGGCAACTCCAAATACACACCGGGCACCCCTTGGCTTTTCCACCACCACGGACATAAGATACAAAGTTTCAACAAACTTGAAACTTCATTCCTTGCCCTCTCTGGTACATCAACATCATTGTTCGCAAAATCGTTCGATATAATCGCTAACTGCCGGTTAGATCGGAATTGACCAGTGGCTAAGTCCTTTTTTGGGCGGTTAGGGTGATCAACCGGTATTTTTTTAAAAAAATTCAAAAAAATGTATATAAATTCAAAAAAATAAGGAATTTGATTTGTAATGCATTTTTAAATATTCTTTACATTATGGTAAAGATTAAAAATTGTTATGGCCATTAATACTCACTTTTATATTTTTTCCATTTTTAAAAAAAAAAATTAAAATAGCCCTCGAAAAATATAAAATGGTTTAAAATCCATTTTTTCGTTAATTTTCAACTTCATTTGAATGTGTTTTGTTTTAATCATTCTTTATATGCTTTTCATATTTCAATAGATTTTTTTTGTATTTTTTTTTTTTTTCAACACTTTATTGATCGCCTGGGACTTGTCCAATTAGTTAGGTTGAATCGGCTGGTTTACCAGTTAGGCCGGTTAAACCGCTTTCATGCCCACGTCCGATTAACCATTTTGGTTCAATTTTACAAACAATGATCAACACTCACTAGTAACATACACATGCGCTGCTTGCAACACTAAATATTAAGGCATAATTAGACCAATTATAATAAATAAATAACTTACCATACCAAAATAATAATGATAATAACAACTACAGCAATAACAATAGATATAAACACTACCTAAATCTAAATAAAGAGAAAAAATATAGAAATCAATTTTAAAAAGGACCAAGTTTTTATGCAGCCAAGCCCACTTATGTATAAATCTATTTTTGAGATGGATTTTTTGACTTAATTTTTAAGGATATGTAATATCTAACAGATTAGGAATATGACAAAATAAGTAAAATTTAAAAACTAATAATAATAATTCTAATAAAAAAATATTTAAACCGTTAGTTGCCATTGTTTTTAGATGAAACACCTACTTGCATCCATATTTAAGATGGATGCTTTATACTTTTTGGACTGCACATGTGGTCATGCGATCCGGCCCGCATGAAACAATTTTCCCTTTAAAAAACTACTTAACAATTCATTTCGGAATTCGTTTGATAATTGCAAATCTACATTTGGCAAACTTTTAGTAATGTTTATTATAAACAAATGTTATGTTTATAATATCTATTATATATTATCTATTATCTATTACTTAATGTCAGGCAAACCTTAAAATTTTAATACAAACTTTGTGAGCTAGAGCCCTTATTAGCATATACTTATTAACCTCATCAGTCTTTAAAATATCGTTACGTCACTTGAAAGGAATATTAATAATTTCATATCCATATTGAATGCGGATTTGGCGGTGCCTCTGGGTCTCTTAGTAAGAGGGGATAAAAGGAGTCAAGAGTGCACGTACATACTTCGCAGGTCTTATTAAAACGTTATAAGTAAGGAAAAAGTTTATATACAGCCGAGGCTCTAAACAATTAAATTAGAGCCCACCTTAAAAACTTCACTAGAAGAAGTTGTTTTGATGCTCAAATATCCTCAAATTGATCATCTCGACATCAAGATGCATGGACATGAGAAAAAAAATGGATTTTAAATTTTGAAAATAGTACATCTTGTAATGCATTTTTGGACCATCAATTTTTCAAGTTTTCATAGATGTACTCTATCTACACTACTTTTGAAGCTTTAAATTTTATAATAAAAGTTAATAATATATTTTAAGGCTATTACAAAGATTTCTAATATTGAAACCACTTTTCTCGACACTATTTGAAGGTGCTCTCTAATTTGAGCCTTGACTCTATACAAACTGCACCCTATACGTAATATGATTTGTTAGAAGTACTATGAAGGCAGATGCCCTTATCTTGCTCGAGGGACTCATATTGTTCAATCCACAGCAGAGCCCTTCCTTAATCGTTGAGGAAGATTCCAAGAATGTGATTCATTGGGCATCGGTTGCCTCTCGGGTCGCTGAACTCTGGCACTCTTTCTATTTGTGGCTCTAATGATACAAAAGGTAAGTCTTTATTGCATAGATTTTGTTTAGGATACGGTTTTTATGCAACCAAGCTCGAATAAATCTATTTTTGAGATGGATTTAAGACTTAATTTTTCAAGACATGTAATATCTAACATGGAGATCCTGAATATGAAAAAATAAATGAATTTAATTTAAAAAACTACAATAATAATTCTAATAAGAAAACATTTGGACCGTTAGTTACCATTGTTTTTAGATAGAACACCTACTTGCATCCACCTTTAAGATGGATGCTTTATACTTTATGGACCGCATATGTAGAAATGCGGTCCAGCCCGCATGAAATAATTTTCCTTTTGTTTATAAGAAAAGACATGTAAATGTGTTATTATAGGAGGAGATTCTCAAAAATAAGTCTCGAGTGTCACAAAGAGAAGGACGGTATTAGACGAGA